CGATCTGGCTAATCTACATGCCTCCGTCGAAGGAGGCATGTAGTCTAGACACACCCTTACAGACTAACTCAGCTACCCCTCTGAAATTTTTGGAATATATTAATAGTAATTTCTAAAATAATTATCCATAAGATATCTAAGCATGTGTATTATTATTTTTAGAAAAAGGCTAGAACAAGCATATAAAATATAACAAGTACAATACAAAAAATATAAGTAAAGCCACCTGAAAGGATATTTGTGTACCAAAATTTTAATCACTGCTCTTCTGATTGGATGAAAAGGGCTAAGTATACATAAGGCACGTGTGGCAGTAAATCGGAAGATTATTTTTCCTTTGTTCAGTACCATAAATGTCTTTAAAGAAATGGAAAACATGGGAGATTATATTAAATAAATTGAATGTCACAGAAATTGAATTGAGAATGTTAATGGTTTATATCTGCATCCAGAACTACAGATTATAGGGAAAAGTTGTGTGTCTGGACCTGCACTTTTTTTAACTGAAGGACTTTTTTGTAATTTTTGTCTATTCCTTTCAATTTGTTATATATTTATACAACACAATTTTCAAAGAATTAATATGAAATATTGTATACTATGGAGAATTTATTATATATCATTTTTCCCAAAGAAAATTTAAGCTATTAAAAAAAATCAGTTGTAAGTGCTCAGCATGAAATTCTGTTCTTTAACCCTGATCTTAAAAAGAACGTGCACATAAGTCATGCGTTCATGTCAACATTCCCATTAATGTAAATGGGACAACTCATATGAAAGTTAATTTACATACATCTGTGAGCACTGCAGGATCAGGACCTTTATTTGCTGAACCACTTTCTCAAAATTCACTAATATTGACATTAGAACTGGTCCAGAATTTTTCAAAAAAGTTTTTCATCAAAAAAATACTGATGTGCCAAATCTGAAACTTTTCCCACAAAAGGGATCGTTTTACTAACAATTTAAATGTGAATGTTCCTCAGCACCAGGGTAGAATTTCTAAGAAACCAGAGGCCCCGGGATATACAGTCAATTGCTTTCTTTCCCTTAATTTCTGTACTTGGAACTCTTTGACTTTGAATATATAATATTCTTCGGACCAGAGAGAGACAATTCTATCTGTTTTGGCACTCTACTGGGGATATGGGAGACCTGGGATCAAGTTGCTGTGGCAATGAATATTTAACTATTTATACAAAATGTAAAAACTGCAATGGGAAAGACTTGGAAAGATCCACCTCTGTTAGGTTGGGGATTAGAGTACTAACCAAGGTGTGGGAAATGTAGGTAAAAGAATTTAAGTCTAAAATATAGTCTATAGAAAACTTTGTTGAAAAATTGGTGGTTCTGTAAAAATATATATATTTATATGTTGTATTTCCTTTTTAAAATTTGTAACATGAGAAAATAAATTGTATTAAGTGGTTCTGACTAAAAGCATCCTTTAGAGAGAAACTGCACATAATGTAGTGTCTTTAGTCTGCCTACAAGTAGGTCTAGTAGGCTGGAAGGTGCTTTAGATAAAACAATAACTTAGTTATCTGCCATCATATAGTAACTGATTTTTATATTATGTCCCATGTTCTCTTCATTGTGGGTGAAATTCATCTTTTTGGAGAGGGCTAACATACACTACCAAAATCCACTTGAGCCCTATTTGGTGGGCTTAAGCAGAAAGTAAGTTATGCATATGTCTCAGACTGATTTATTTCATTCTGTTTGATTAGTAGAGTATAAAATTCAGGTTTTATTACATTATCATGTAGTGCTTAAAGCTTCTCTCATCTGAAGAAGTTCATGATACCATTTACATGTTTTGTTAGTCTCTAAGGCTATGTCTAGACTGCAAGCCTCTTTCGAAAGAGGCTCTTTCGAAAGATACTTTCGAAAGAGCCTTTTTCGAAAGAGAGCGCCTAGACTGCACGTTGAACTTTTGAAAAAGCGACTTGCTTTTTCGAAAGAAAGCATCCAGTGAGTCTGGATGCTCTCTTTCGAAGAAGCCCTATTTACATTGAAGAACGCCTTCTTTCGAAAGAGGAACTTTCGAAAGAAGGCGTTCTTCCTCGTGAAATGAGGTTTACCGCCATCGAAAGAAAAGCCGCGTTCTTTCGATTTAATTTCGAAAGAACGCGGCTTGAGTCTGGATGCAGGGGAAGTTTTTTCGGAAAAAGCTTTTGCTCAAAGTGTTAGGTATCTGTTTTATTATAACGTGATTTAATACAACTGTTGTAATATAATGAACCAATGGGTTTAAACTGCAGCAAGGGAGGTTTAGGCTGGGCATTAGGGAAAAACTTCATAACTGTCAGGGTGGTTAAACACTGGAATAAATTACGTACGGAGGTTGTGAAATTTTCATTTCTGGAGATATTTAAGAGCAGGTTAGACAGACATCTATCAGGGATGATCTAAATGATGCCTGGTCCTGCTGTGAGGAGACTGGAGTTGATGTCCTGTCAATGTCCCTTCCAGTTCTAGTATTCTATGATTATATAATCATTCAAAGGAATTGCTAACAAATTTAACTTTCTGACCTCTAAACTAGAAAAGAATCTCTACTGATAACTAGGGATGTAAAATCTTGGTTAATCAGTGAATCGGCTAAACATTCGTTTAACCTAATATTTAACTGGTTAATGGACTAAAGTGGGATCTGAGCTGGGGATTGCTCCAGCTGGAGCAGCCCTCAGCCCAGGGGACTGCCACCGGCTCCCTGCCCCCACCAGAACAGCCCCTGCCAATGAGATGCCCAGGCTTCCCGTGGATAAAGGTTGCTCCGGACTTGAGCAACCCCTGTCCATGGCAGGTCCCCTGCAGGGCTAGCACAGCCCTCCAGCCTCCACCAGTTTCTGATAAACCAGAATTAGTAAGTGTTACCCATTTAGGCTGATGCTTACCGGTTAACCTTTCCCATCCCTATTGATAGCTGGTCAAAGAGGCATGAAAAGTATAGCCTTAAATGTAAGCACATCTTCTCTGAACTTTCTTAATGAAACAAAGTTAAAACAACAAACTTATTTTATGGCGCTAACCTTGTGATCACTGTAGTAAGGGTCAAGATCCTCCAGTGGTTCCCCAATTAGCTCCTGAGGAGGATTTCCATAGAGAGCAGGGAGCTTTTGGAAAGCCTTTAAGTCAAGCTGGGGCCGAGGTTTCTCTTCAGGCTGCTGATCTATGCATTCTTTCTTGGCAGCAATTTGCTTCTCGATAGCAGCCAAGGATTCACATGTGAATTTGCGAAAATTGTTAGTACAGGGCAGTAAGAAGTCAGCCATCTTTTCATTCTTTTCTTCCAATGATGGACTGTATCCCTAGTTGTGGAAACAGCTAACAAGAGATACGCATATAAGCAATTACTAAAAACCTGTCAAATACAACCAACCACAGTTCTGTTTTGCAGTTGTCTTTTAACTGCACCTCTTTTTGTATCTGTCAGCCTCCTAGAGAAACGAAACAAACACAAATGTAACACCAATCATTATCCAGAACTCACATTGCTTCTTAAATAAAATGTCTATGGGTTCACATTTAGATTACATATGTAAAGTCCACATAGATTTTATAGATTTAGTGTCTGATTTTCCATTGACTTCAAGTAGAGTTGTGAGTGAAAAGTACTTGTGAAAAGCACCTTGATATAATTATTTTCTAGAGGCTGAGGGGTGATCAACCATATCTATGTAGCCCTCATAATTTTTCTCTTTCTTCACTCTCCCTGAGGCCTTGAATCTGAGCCAATGTCCTTCCAGCCAAGAGGGACTAAAGATTACTTTTCTTGTTGATGGCCAATTATAGTATCCAGAGACATTACTATTAATCACTGAAAAGAGCTCTCTGTCAGGAATAAAGGCACTGGCTCCATGGGAATTGTAAATTCCTGCCTCCTTGAGGAGTAAGAGACTAGGAAAAGATGTTTTATACATTGAATCCAAAAGCATGAGGACTTTCAAAATATAAAACACATTACACCTATGATTTTACAATAATTTTAGCATGGAAAAGTAGCAAGCAAATTTAAATATTTTATTGTTTACATTTACCTATTATTTATATTCTTACACAATTTATACAATACAGATATCTACATGTTAGGCAAGTGCAATATTAATATAAAAATAATCAAACAATAAAATATAATCAAACAATAATATTATGTATCTCAAGTTCCTGAAAAATAGAGACTGATTGATCTCTGCCTGGGCCCCAAAATAACCCTGGATGAATAGATGGAGTTGGCAATATGTCCTGAAAAGCAATGTATCTTGAAGATATGCAACATGCATTTTAATGCATGGGAAACTAATAGTTTTCCTTGTAGTGCTATAGGCACAAATGTTACCAATAATAACACAATGTTTGAAATAGTGCAATATCTCAGATATATTATTATGTAGTAACTAGAGCAAGAACAATTATCCAGAAAAAAAACACAAAACCAACCCTAAAATAATTCAATAAAAATATTGTTCCCGTGTAAGGAAATGAACTTGAATAACTGCAAATACTGGAAAGGTAACAGGTTTATTTTCTAACTACAGGGAACAGGTAAGAATGTGATTTAATATACTAAATTGCACTCTCATATAAAACATGCTAAAATATAACAACATTGTTAAAAATGAAGATTTCATTGTGTCATGTCATATCCTAGTAACAGGCCCCTTCTCTAAAGCCAGACTGTCCAATGAAGGGATATCCAAGCAGTGCCCAGGTTATGGAATAGGACAGATGAGCCCCTAGCCTATTGGGTCCCAGAGCCTCATGCTGAACTTATCACAAATATGATATATACATTTCTCAAACTTTTATTCTGGAGTAGGTAAAGAACCTACGGTGACATTAATGTTCTGATACAAGGGCAGAAAGCTGCTGGAAAATGGTGTGAAGATCTGCTACTACCAGATGATCTCCACTGGAGTTTAATTCTACATTAGATGGAATGTCTCCAAAAAGACACAAATTCTAAATCATATGTCTCTCTTTTATTTAATCAAATCACTAAACCTTTTTTGTTTTCTTTTCCCCTATAGGCTTGCTTAATCCTTCAGACTCTCATATCAATAAGACCCATTGTGAGCATCCTGTTTGCCTGTAATTAGTGGACCAGATTCAGTCATAACTCCTATTGAAGTCAGTTTGAATTTATGCCAGGGTGAATTCTGCCCATAATCTGAGCCTGCATATTTGTCTACTCTCTGTTGTTTTATTTTCTTGTGTGACAAAGCTAGGCTGGATTGCTGTAAGGAAGTCGTGGAAGGCAGATATTTTATCCCTTTTTCCTATAAACTGACAAGAGATTATCTTGGGGCTACCAGGGGCTGCCAAAAACTTTTACAACCCCCTCTTCTGTTGAGAAAAGGGAAGGAGAGACAAGGTGCTGAAGGACTAGTGGCAATATATATAGGCTTCTCCAGTGTGAAAGGTTGCTTTCTTTCCTGTGTAGGGGCAGGACTGGCACCCCAGAGCTACAAATAAGACAGTTCCCTTCCCCAGAGAAGAAGCAGGAAAATATATCCCCTTTATTTTGTGTTATGAATGTTCTTTGTTTGGTGGAGGGGAATTTTTGATACCTTGGAAAAATGGATCGATAAACCCAACATGAAAAAACAAACACCCGTGTAACTGAGCTCTTTTACTCCAGTGCCCCTCCCACTGCTTGAGGAGGAAGTGCTAAGACAAGCAAGACAGAGGCGTTGCCCTGCCATACTTACTTCTTTCTGTTCATTAATTCCATTATGTAGGAAATATGCTTTCTTGAACCTGGAAGTTCCCTCTTGCTGTCCCTGCCCACCAATCAATAAAGATTCCACTGGCCCCCAAATGGATGGACAGCAGGGTCCACCATTCTAAGAACTAAGAGTTGAAGACCAACTGCTAAATTCTAACAGCCAGGGAACCATTTGATGTCAGGACTCAATCACCATCTCCCGTAAAAAGGGCACAAAAGCAAAAATGTAAAAGGAAGTTAAGCTGCCTGCTGAGAATAGAAGCCCTGCTGGATAACAGCTTCTTAGAGCAGCTAGTCCTGGAACTCTCAAAGGGAGAGGCAATTCTTGATTGGCACAGAGGATCAGGTCCAAGAGGTGAATACAGCAGAACCATTTAGCCACTGTGACTATAATGTAATGAATTTAACATCCTTGTGTAACCCAGAGGCATCCCTGTGTAACCCAGGGAGCAGCCTGCAGTTTCAAGTGATCTGGGGCTGCAGCAGGCAGATTGCTTTGGGGTTTTGCAGAGCTGCTGACTTAAGGGTCAGAAGACAGCTCCAGCTGTTTTCCTGCTGCTGTATCGGAGCAGATGCTCTGTCTCTATGGTGCTCACTGGAGAGTGACTTTAATTAGAGGTTCCTATGTAATTCTAAGCTGCATCATTCATCTAAGAATTTGGTCCCAAGCCTGATTTTCATAAGTGTTGAGCACCTGCTATTCCTACTATACAATGACACCCCACAAAGCTTTCTGGGGCAAGGAATATTTTGTTCTCCAAGTGTAAAATCTTCCCGACTATCAATAACATCATGTCACAAATGTGGTTACACTGGACAGTGAACAGAGCAGCAGCCAACCGGGGAGTTTGCCTGGGAAATGTCCGAGAGGAGCTCAGGTAAGTGTGGCTTTTGGGGGGCTGTGTTGTGAGCTGGTGGGGTGTTTGTCTGTGAGCATTTGTTTGACTGTGTGTTTGGCAGTTTGAAAAGAGCTGCAGTTGGAAAGTGTGAATCAGGAGTGCTTTATTCAAGGTGGGAACTCAGGGGGTCACTGAACTAGAGGCAAGGCTTTGAGTTGGGCCTACCCTAAGCCTTATAAAAAAGCAGCCAGAGCAAACACAGTGAACAGCCAACAGGGCAGCAGCCAACAGGGGAGTTCCAGGCATGTGAGTCATCCCACCAAGTCTCTGTTATTCCAGTCAAATCATAGTTCCTTGACTGTGCGAGGGCTTCTAATTCTTCCTGTTTGTATCCCAGGCTTCTTGCATTTGTATACAAACACCTTAGATAACCAATTGATTGCCCTACCTTTTCCATCTGAATCAGAGGTCCTCTTTTGTTGCTCCTTCCTCATGTTTCTTCCTGGCATCCAACTTCCTCAGTTGCCTCAGGGGTTTGGACACGATCCCCAAACAAATCAGCTACGTCTATACTGGCGCGTTCTCATGCAAAAACTCTTTTGCAGAAGAGTTCTTCTGCAAAAACTCTTCCAGAAGAGAGTGTCTACACTGCCATGTGCTTTTGTGCAAGAGATATGCTTTTGCGCAAGAGCATCGATGCCAGTGTAGATGCTGTCTTGCACAAGAAAGCTCTCATGGCCATTTTAACCATAGGGCTTTCTTGCTCAAGAAATTCATGTTGATAAGTTCGAACTAAGTTCGAACTAGGGTGGCTAGTGTAGACATACCCTTACATACAATGCAACTCCTCGTCCTTTTCTCTCCCGCCTGTTCTTCCTGATCAGTTTATACCCTCCCATGACAGTGGGTTGATTTAGTTGGGATTAGTCCTGCTTTGGGCAGGGGGCTGGACTTGATGACCTCCTGAGGTCTCTTCCAGCTCTATGATTCTATAATTCACTGAGACAAGGCAAAGTGAAGTCTTCTCTACTGCCTTAGCTGAGAGCCAGGGGAATGTGACGGGATGCTTACACCACATTAGACTGGAGTGGCAAGAAAGTGGTGTTCTGGTCCATGCTGCCAACCCCTAGGCCCTGAAGGAAGAGTTTACCCAGGAGGTGACAGGATAGAAACCTGAGACTGCATAGGAAGAAAAATTCAAGGAAACAATAGTAAAGTGGGACACTGCAGACCTTGGCCACTGATTAGAAGAGCCCTAGGCTGGAAACCAGAGTAGAGGGTAGGTCTTGGTTGCCCTCCCAGACACTGGGAACATTGCACAGTCAGGGCAGTTGATATGAAAAGCCTGCCTTGGCTGGTTTAGCCTGTGGCATTTTGACACCATAGGAAGGGGGAAACAATGATCTGGCCAGAACACAAAGCCACAAAGAGGGAGCTATTGAATCACAAAGAGGGAACACTGTATGCCTGAAGAATGAGATGGGATGCAGAGTGAAAGGGAAAGGGAAGGGGAGTGTCAGACTTTGAAGGCAGCTAACCATCAGGCATGGCCACGAAGAAATACCAAGTGGTGAGTGAACTCTGTTACAGTGAACTACACAAAAAGAATAAGGCTACCTAAATGGAAATGAAAAGAAACAATCTTGAGTTAAACGCTGGTCCTTTCGATCCCATATTAGCAAAAAAAACCTTAAATACATACTTAAATACATCCGTATTCTGGAAAACCTATCCTTCCATATTTTCCTGAATCAGGCCAA